TAACAGTTCTACAGCAGGTGAGAACAGAGTGGGAAGATGGCTTCTCCTGCTTTACAGTGTAGAGAGTGGGGGCAGGGTTTGAAGGTTTAGTGTGACTAATGGAGTATATAGTATTCAGTAATGTTTCACCTACGGTTGGAAGCATGTCACTATGCGTTGCTAGGTGCATGTGAGTTTAGAAGTCGGTATCTTCCAGAGACATGGAGACTTGAATCTGCCGGTTCCCTTTTTACTTTTTCAGAGATTGATTGCATTCTTCTTCTTCGTTATATTTTGATTGTGACTGTGTATTGTATGCCTGTGGAGGCCATGCTCTTTTTTTTTCTGAGTTCTCTCCTTCCAGCATCTGGGTCCTGGGGGTCACACTAAGGTTGTCAGCCCTGGCAGCAATGGCCTTTGCCCACGGAACCATCTTGCCAGCCCCTTATTTTTATTTTGTAATTTTGTGTGTATGCCCACCCTGCATACCCTGCCTGTAGGCTGCCTAGTGTGGGTGATGGGAATGGAATCCCGTTCTCTGAAAGGAACTCTTAGCACTAAGCCAGCTCCTCAGTCCCAGTCAGCTTCTCCGTACTTTTTTTAAAGGTAGGCTACTAGAACAATTTTAAATTACAGGTTCAGGTTCTTTCCACTGGAGAGCACCAAAATAGAAGGAAGATAAAGTGGAAGCCTATGCCAGCTGAAAAGCCCCAGCCGACTAAGGTCACAGAGAGTGACAAGCTAAGAGAAGGAAAGATCAGAGGCCACTCTGTCCTCCTAACTGTCTTGCTGCCTGCTGGAGTCAAGATAAAGAAAGAGGAGACCAGAAAAGGAGTGAAGAACGGGAGGGCGGAGAGAGCCATGAAGGACACATTCTCTGTCTACCAGAAGAGCTGCACCTGCTCCGTTAACATATATACAAACCTGCCGTCGTGAAGATGACAGTCTTACAAAACAGCGCAATGGAGTGTGGTAGCCCACGGCTGTAGCCCGGGCACTTGGAAGGGGAGGCAGGAACTTTCAAAATTCAAAGCCAAAAACAAACAAACAAAAATAAACTAAGAAACACAAATACATAAGCAAATGATTTCAAAACTGATGGCAACATTTAAAAAGCTTAAGTGTCTCTCATAAAGTAGACCTCTTAAATGCCATTTATTGAGCTGATCAAACCCAATCACTCAATCTTAAATTATTATAATCCCAGATGTTATTAAGTCTAAAGAGGAAAAAAGAGAATTCACGAGTATAGGTGTTGGTTCATGATCCAAAAATTTACCCCTGGGTATTTTTCCCTGCTGTAACTGAAGTGCAAAAATGCTTTGTATCACAAAACTCAAGTAAGAAAAAGGCTACTATTTCCTATAGGTAAACAGAGTCATAGTGGTTGGGTGGAGGTTCTTTGCAGCAAGATGTATGGAGACTAAGATTGAACTAAGTAGTTTGACTAGAGACATTTCAACACCACAGGACCATGGAGCTCAGAGCTGGAGCTCAGTCTGCCCTGTGCTGGGACTGGAGGAGAGCCTGGAGCCTATAGGACCAACTGTAGAAGCAACTCCTGCACCATCAACTGCCAACTGTCCCCTTCATCATTCAGGATGGAGGAGCTCCCACCATTGTTAATGCTATGACTAAAATAAATTAAGTCTGCCTGGGGATCCCCCAGGTGAGCAATAAGCCCATAATAAAACCATAACCCAGTAATCCTACTGCACAGCACAGATTCTCAGAAATGCACACACACTTCACCAAAGCTAGGCACTAGAGCAGTTAGAGCAGCACTATCTGGGGCAGACAAACACTAGAAGCTGCCTAAACATTCAACAACTGATCACAGATTAAGCCGCACTAAACTCATCAGCAACCACGGTGAGCATAACTACAGGCAGCCCCGGGAGGCCTCTGACACTTAATGCTTACAAAAGAAGACCCCCACCCCCCCACCCCCGTGGGTCTCCATTCATGCAGTGTGAGAGAAGGAAGGAAGGCCAGGTAATGCTAACAGAGGCAGTGACTGGGCACAGAACAGGTCCTGGTTATGTTCTGTCCCTTGAACTGAAGGTGGTGCATGTTCAGGATGGAAATTTGCTCGGGAATACACGTTAGTCTATTTTCCCCCGAACCCACACACGTTTCTAAGACGCCGTCATAAGAGTTGGATCCTTCCACTGTGTAGGTTCTGGAGATTTAACTCAGATCGTTGGGCAGCAGGCACCTCAGACCACTGCATTATGTCACTGGCTTTACCTGTGTATGTGCCTGCATGTGTACAAACACACACACACACACACCACACACACACACACACACCACACACACACATACACACCAAGACAGGGTCTCGAATACCCCAGCTGACCTTGAACTCTTGATTCTCTTGCCCATGTGCTAAGATTGACAAGCCTGCACACCACCTCCAGCTGCAAGTACCTTGTTTGGTGTCCGGTAAGCTGGTTTCAACCTCTCAGTTCATTTCTCCCCTCCTCCCTCACCCACCCCACTCCTCTATGGGAGTGCTTGAGCTGGGGTTTCCTTCCAGGACGGCCCTTGTGCCACCATCCATATTTATGGCTTCCTGTCACACTGGGCCTGTGAGTCACACCCTCTCCAGTGGATGCCTCCGCTAACTTATGCCACCCACACCGACCCAGTCCTTGCTTCTCGATCCTCAGCAGCTGCCGTGTATATTCCTCGTTGTTTCTGTGCCAAACCTTCCCAGCTAGACAAGAACCTAGAGCATGCCCTCAGAGGGTGATGGCCATCCATCCTCCTGGTTCCACCGGCAGCACAGGATAAAGTGTTCCTCCAATGCTAGAACGGTGTGGAGGGTGACTCTTTCTACTTCCCACAGGTCTTTGCTAGGGTTTCTATTGCTGTAACACCCTGCCAAAAGCAACTAAGAACGTGTTTAATTACAGCGTGCAGTTCCACATCCAGGTTCATCATGAAGAAAGTCAGGACAGGAGCTGAAGCATGGCAGGAATCTGCAGGCAGGAGCTGATGCAGAGGCCATGGAGAAGCGGAGGCCATGGAGAAGCGGGGGGGGGGGGGCATGGAGAAGCGGGGGGCATGGAGAAGTGGGGGGGCATAGAGAAGGGGGGCATGGAGAAGCGGGGGAGGGGCATGGAGAAGCAGGCTCGCCCCTCACTGCTTGCTCAGCCTGCTTTCCTCTACCACCCAGGAATCCCTGCCCACCCACACCACCCACAGTGAGCTGGGCCCTCCCCCCATTTGTCACTAATTAAGAAAATGTCGGCCAGGCTTGCCTACAGGACAGTCTGGTGGGGGCATCTTTTTTCAATTGCTGTTCTCTTTTCCCAAATGACCCCAGCTTGTATCAAGCTGACATTAAAAGCGACCCCAGGCGCACCATTAATGTCCCAAGAGACAGCGGCTAACTCCTGCGGCTTCGCCAGCCCAGTGAGGGAGCAGAGAGTAGAGGGCAGGTGTCTCTTCTTGACTGCCTCCCGAACCATTCAGCACTTAACCTATTTTGATGACATGGGGTAAACAGCAATGCTCGTCAAACTGAATGGATTTCCAGAATCTGTGTGCTTTTATAATTTCCTGCCAGGCCCCCAGCATTCTGTCTTCCAGGCATGTTGACACAGGCTTGTAATTCCAGAACTTGGGAGGGGGAAGCCAGAGGATCAGTGTTCAAAGCCAGGCTGGGCTACACAGTGAATTCAAAGCCAACCTGAGCTACACGACACCCAATGTCAAAAACGAAAACCAATCAACCAAACCAAACCAAACCAAACAACAACAAAAAATACCAAACAGCCATCAAGACCCCCAATCGTCTTCATTTCTTTCAAAGTCTCAAGGAAACACTATCAACACTAACCAAAATCTCCACCTTACAGAAATGGTGTCAACCACATGGCAGACATGGGTGTCAAGATGCTCAGCATTCTGATTACAGGGCTCTGGGAGTTGGTATTAATTCTCTCTTGTCCCAACACTTGGAAGTAGGTGATTCCCAGCTCCACAACTAGAAATGTTAGCTACCGCTGGGAGATGCCAGGGACAGGGAATTGCACAAATGAAACCAACATCTGCCCTGCCTGGTCCTTTCTTTCCACAGACACGGATACCTCTTGCCAGCTCCAGCATGTGTGTCTATCTGCAGGTAAACGAGGATTTACAGTAATAAACCAAGGGAAGGCTTGGCTAGACACCAGAGGGCAGAAGACGAGAGTCTTCTTCCTTTGTGAGTCTAAAACCCAGCACAGCCCTTGGCTGAAGGAACCTGCATCAGTCCCAGAAAAAGCATAACACATAAAACCGCTTCCCCCCCCCCTTAAGTAAATGACACCTAATTTTGCAAAGGCCAGATACATGAATTAAGACGGAGAGGTATAAAAATTTCATTTTCAAGTCAGTTAATGATTCTGCAGAGTTCTCTTCGATGATAGATTTATTTTAAATGGTTAGAACCACAAACCCATTGGCCTGGAAAAGACTTCAGCCAAACAGTAGGTCAAGCTTTCCAGTACAGACCAGGAGAGCAAGCCCCCCACAGAAGGATGAGTGTCTGTCTGCCAAGGTCATCCAGCTGGTGTGGGGTAGGGACAGGAGTTCATTTCTACTCACTGAGGTCCTGCCAAATATTCTCTTTTTAAAAAAATCAACAACAACAACAAAAACAAAAACAACAACAAAAACCAAAACAGCTCATGCACAAAGAACGCACCCTCTCCGCAAACCACTGTTTAAAATTTCCAAGGAACCAAAAAGGTCGCCCCAACTGTCTCCTCCGCAGGACTGGCCGCAGAGGGGGCGGGGAAGGTCACAAGCTGATTTTTATCAGCAGAAATCTACCCATTTGCACACACAGGGAAGGTTCAGGGGCCACTAGTGACCCTGCAGAGGGTTCCCCAATCCACTCACGGGGACACTTAGTTCGGCTCTGCTGGCTGAGAAGATTCCAGCAATGAATTAAAAACCGCCGAATCAAGCGGCGTGGAAAAAGGCCACCTCGGCTGGACCTGCCTTGCGGGTCGGGTCGTCCTTACCCGCTGCGCTGCATCCACACCTGCGCCGGCCGCGGGGGCGCCGATCTAGGCGGCCCGGAGCCGCGACCCTCCGCCCGTGTCCCCCAGCAGGCGCGTCGGGCGTCGCAGGGCTGGGGAGGAGTCGCTGGGCCCCGGGAACGAGTGGGCAAAGGAGGATCGCCGCTGCCTGGGTTGCCGGAGTCCGCTATGCCGGCTGGGGGCTGCGCCACGTACCTCGGCAGGCAGGTGCCGCTGCTCGGCTTCGCGGCTTCTGGGGCCGCCGCTCCGCGCCGCCCGCCGCCTCCGTGCGCATGCTAGGGAAGGAGCGCTGGCTGCACGCCAGCCCCAGGCCCCGCGCCCCAGCCCGCCCCCGGCGCCGCGCTCGCGCCCATTCAGCCCCGGACGGTCCGCTCCCCGGCGCGGATGCGGAGAGGGGGCGGGGTCGCGCGTCACGAGGACTTGGCGAACCAATCACAGTGCGCGGGGCCCCACTGTGGCCCCGCCCCGGAGCAGGCAGCCCCCTCCGCCCAGTAGAGCGAGGGGGAGCAGGGCGCCTCCAGCCGGGAAGCAGCCTGGGCGCCTGGAGGCCTGGGACGCGGCTTCCCCGCGCCTGGGGCTCTCTCCAACTCTCTCCAGGCTTGCCCGGGATTAGATGGTGGAAGGCGGCCCGGGGAACCAAAGGCGGCTTTGGACCAGTTGGGGGCTTTTGGCTGTGAGCATCCAATTAGGAATCACGGAGCCAGGGAATGAAGGGGCTCGGCGTAGTCAAGTGCTTTATTCGCCAGCTGTTCTCGGGTCTTTAGAGTTACTGGTCCTGGGTACCGAGTCCCGCCCGCGACACAAGGTCCAAGACAGGCTAGACCAGCGGTTCTCAACCATGGGTCCCCTAAGACCATCGGAAAACACAGATGTTTACATTACTATTCATAACAGTATCAAAATTACAGTTATGAAGTAGCAGTGAAAATTATTTTGTGGTTGGGGCTATACGATTTTAATGGGTCGCAGTCTTAGGAAGGTTGAGAACCACCGGGCTTGGGCCCTGCCAGAACGGCCTTATATTGTACCTAGTGGCATAGCACTATTTACCCAAGTCAACCTAGTTTAACAGAAGGGGGAACTGAGATGGGGGAGGGGATGAATAGCTTTTAAGCCACTGGAGGCATTTAGTGGCAGAACCAAGATCAGAACCTGGGCTTGGCGCACTCAAATCCATTTGCCTGAAAACAACTGATCCCCTCGCCTCCCACACCCTATTCTGGAAAGGAACTGCCATACAATTTACACATCTAGTAAATCTCAAATCTGGAGCATTAAAACACTTAAAACTGGACTGGATCTCCCTTTTAGGATATTTCTTCCCATGATCCTCTAGAAAAGCCGACAAGAAAGGGATCCAAACCACAAAGTAAATGATATTATAGGAAGCCAAGGTCTTCTGAGGATGTGGACCCTTTGCACGTGTATAGGGGGAAAGGCACAGATGCCTTCCTTTTTGTTACTTGGAACGGCTTGCCTTCAGCCTCAAGGGGTATTCTGACAGTCTGGAGACATGTCTTCCAAGATACCGCTCCAATTTTCTTGGTTACTACATATCAAACTCTGTTTTGAGGCTGCTCATGGTCCCATGATAGTTCTTGTGGCTGTGTGTCAGCTGAGAAAGCTGAAGCTTTGGAGTGAAAGTGAGGGCAGGCTGGGGGCAGGCTGGGCGTTTACAACAGCACGAGAGGCTGTACAAACAGGAAGCGGACTTGGGCTAGCTTTAGGAACCCCTTTTCCCGACCAAACAATACCTCCTCTCTCATTTTGAAGAGCAAGACCCCAGCCCCAAGCCAAGAGTGCTATCACCGTTTCCTTTCCAACAGCTCGAACCGAGTAGCAGGTTTGAACACATCTTTGTTCTTTCCCCAGGGTGGAGAGCAGATGTGGGTGGGGGGTGGGAATGCTATCTGGCTAGTCAATGCCAAGAATAAAAACGCAGGCGAGAATAGGGTGGGTGGATTCTGCTTTCATTAAAAATAGTAATATCTGTATGATTTTAAAGTGAGGACATTGGGAATATTCTAGAAGGGGAGAAATGGAAGAGAGTTGGCCCCACTGGTCAGACAGGGCAGCTGCCGGGGAATCGGGGACAGCTGCATGGAGAATGCTAAGCACCTCACCCTCTGTCCCCTGGAGACCAGCCTGGGGCCTGCCTGCAGGGTCAGACGTCCTGCTGCCTCTTGGCTTTTGGTGACATCTCCCTGAAGTACCCTAACTTGCAAGGATGGGGTCTAAGTTGGGGTGATGAAGAGTAGGATGTGAAGGCTGCCTTGGCCTCACATCTGTTTAAGCTTATTCCCCTGGTTCACACTTACTGGAGATAAGATCTGCCCCTCAAGTCCCCAAAATAACACACTAGAATCAGTTACTAGATCTCAAAGGTTTACTTGCTGGCCTCAGAGAAGCTTCAGACTCTAGCATATGGTAGGACTGCTAATAAATCAAGGGCAGTAACTACAGTGTATTTAGTTTTTCAGTGCTGGAAACCAAATCCAGGGCTATATTCGGACAGATGGGCACTACTCGGACTGCCCAGTGCTCTGCCGCTGAGCTGTACCTCTCCAGGCCTCTGTTTATTATTTTTAACGAAGCAATGCATATTCTTTTGGGGTTGGAGGGAAGGTGTTGCTGTTTTAGGTTCGTTTTTAAATAGGGTCTCACCTGGCTAGCCTGAAACTTAGAAGCAGACCAGGCTAGCTTTAAACTCACAGAGAGCTTGGCTTGCCTCTGTCTCCTGAGGCCTAGGCTTAAAGTTGTATGCCAGTAAACCTGGTGTAATAAATGTTCTTAAACATCTTCAGTTTTAATTTATGATAGGGCAACAAACAAGGTAAATTCTATATTTAAAAGGCTGGGATTTGGATTTGTGGGGTTTTTTGTTGTTGTTTTTGTTTGTTTTGTTTTGTTTTTGGCATCTGCAGTAATTTCTAGAAATAGAAAGGATTCCTATCACTGGCCACAGAAACCAGAATGACTTAAAGGAGATCTCCAGAAATGCTTCCGTTTCCCTGCTAGCAGTGAGTAGCCTCAGAAGATGTAGAAAAGATAACATTTGGACTAGAAGGAGGATCTGAAGAGAGTTGTGCTGTGGAAACACAGAGTACGAAGATTCGAAAGAAACCATTTCCTCTCTGCCTCCATACATCCCCATAGATGAGGCTTTGGGTTCCTCTGCGGACTGAACTAACCACCCAAGCCCTGCAAGTGGTATTCCCTGTGCTTGTTTGTGCATGTTTTTAACTAACAAGTGCCTGAGACCTCAGCCTGTTCTCCTGGAATCCCTCTATTCTGCCATCGTTCATGACACAAGTCAGCTCTGGGATAAACTGGGAAGGTGGTGGAAAGAAAAAAAGAACAGAAACGCAGTCAAACGAACTATAGAAATGATCCCCCATGACAGCGCCCCTTACCAGCAGGAAGTAGTTTGGAAAGAACGACGCCCAAATTCCCAAATATTGTGTATAAATGTTTGTTTTCATTTAATTGGACTTTGTTATATAAAATAAAATAAAATATAAATATGAAAGGGGAAAAAAACAAACAAAAAAAAGAAACGCAGTCAAACGGTGGCATATAGGCCCGATAGCAATGCTGCCTCTGTGTGTAACCCCAACTGGCCTGGAACTCTCTGTGCAGCCCAGGCAGAGGGAGAGGAGGGACAGATGTGTCTCAAACTCTTAGCAACTCTCCTGCCTCAAGCTCCTTGGGCCTACACCACTATAACCATCATATGACATTTTTATTCTCTTTGGCTTCCCTGTAATTTTACATTGCTTTTCCTGGGAGGAACAAATCAAACATATAGCATTACCTTTTAAAAAGCCCTTGACCAAGGGCACAGCTTCAGAGGGCAGCTTAGATGGGGATAGGACCGGGGAACTCTCAGGTTACATGTTAGCAGAGAAGAAAGAAGATCTACTCCGCGGTGCACATGGGCCCAGAAAACAAACTCCCTTTCACTCACAGCTTTGCCAAGATTCCAGCCATGAAAAGGAGTGCTCCAGGGATAAGGGATCATTAATTATGCCTGAATCAAATTGGCTGGGATATTTGCAGTTGGAAAAAAAATAAACACACACAGACACAAAACAAAAACAGAAACAATGGAGGAGACCAATTGTATTAATACTTAAAAAAAAGGACTTAAAGAGTATATTAGATGATAATTTTATTTTATTTTGGTTTTTCAAGACAGGGTTTCTCTGTAGCTTTGGAGCCTATTCTGGAACTTGCTCTGTACACCAGGCTGACTTCGAACTCACAGAACTGTACCTGCCTCCCAAGTGCTGGGATCAAAGGCGTGCGCCACCACCATCCAGCTAAATGACAAATTTTTTAAAAAAGAAGTCACTGTGGATATAGTTTGTTGCTAGAGTGCTTGCTGTGAATTCAACCCCAGTATCACATAAACTGGCATGCGGCACATAGATAGCTTCCATAGGCAGGGACATGAGGGTCAAGGTCATCTTTGTCTACATAGAGTTCCAGCCAGCCTGAGATACACAGTGCCCTTTATGAAAGAAAGAAAAGAGCGAATGGCCGATACAGATAGCATGCAACTAAGTTTATAGCCAAAACTCAGAAGAGACACTTGTGGGTGTCAGGGCTCTCCAATCATGAGTCATCTTTTATTCCCTTTTTAAAAATTCTCTTGCATGTTGCCATCATGTTGTTGTTGTTGTTGTTGTTATTTACAATAAGTAAGAGCTGGGAGAGTCTCACTGGGGTAATTCATGGAGGTCTCGGACTTCTCCAGAACGCCCATTTCTTTTTGCCTGCCAAATGGCTCTGTTCCCACAACCAAGACAGGAGCTGAGTTTCCCCTGAGGCTGGTGCCTTCAAAGCAGTTAGGGCTGCGGCTGGTGTGACCGCTCTGCAGGAAGGCAGAGAGAAAGGGGACTGAATGTGCCTCAGCCCAGACTGAGGCACGTGTGTGTGTGTGTGTGTGTGTGTGTGTGTGTGTGTGTGTGTGTGTGTGTGTGTCTAGGGTGGAAGGAAGGAATCCCTTATCTTCTGACTCCACCTTATCCTGGGGTGCCAGGCTAGGCTCGGTTTTGCCTTATGGTGTGAATTGATCCCAACTGACTTCTGAGTCCCTTCCTCAGGGCCCCCAGGGGTTGGAGTTCTATGGTAGCCGGCAGCCATCTGTCTGCTACCCTGGAGCACAAAAGAAGTTGGTCCCTTGAGGTTTTACTAGGAATGTTTCCTGTGAGCCAGATAAACAAAGTGGGGAAAAAGAACTTGCAATGGGACACAATGGAGAACTTCCGGTGGGGCAGAGGGAGGCCCTGATGGAGGGAATGCCCCAACATGGGCCCAATCCTCTG